AATCCCAGTGTTACTCATAGGGACAATTGCAGCGGCAGTAACTGGTGCAATGCTACCAATTCTAGGACTTCTAGTCTCCAAAATGATACATACATTCTTTGAGCCTGCAGATAAACTTCGTAAAGACTCGAAGTTTTGGGTTTTAATATTCGTTTCTCTTAGCATGGTATCATTCACTTTTCATCCAATAAGGTCATACTTTTTTGCTGTAGCTGGTTCTAAGTTAATAAAAAGGATCCGGTTAATGTGCTTCGAGAAAATAATTCACATGGAAATAGGCTGGTTTGATAAAGCTGAGAATTCAAGCGGTGCACTTGGTGCAAGGCTTTCAACCGATGTTGCTTCGATGCGAACTTTGGTTGGCGATGCACTCGGTTTACTGGTTCAAGATATTTCAACAGTTATTACAGCCTTGGTAATTTCCTTTGAAGCAAGTTGGCAGCTTTCTCTCATCATTCTTGCTTTGATACCTATACTATTTGCAAGTGGACATTGGCAAAAGAAGTACATGCAAGTGTTCAACACAGATGCAAAGGTTTGTGCCTTACATATTTAGTTAGTACTGCTAATATCTGTTTGACATCATGTTACTATAATCTATATATGTTTTGACAGAAACTATATGAGGAAGCAAGTCAAGTAGCGAACGATGCAGTAGGAAATATCAGAACAGTTTCTGCTTTCTGTGCCGAAGAGAAGGTGATGGAGTTATACCAGTAGAAATGTGTAGTACCAGTCGAAACAGGAAAAAGGCAAGGTTTAGTCAGTGGAACTGGTTTGGGCTTAGCTATTTTCCTTTTCTTTTGTTTCTATGCATGCAGTTTTTATGCAGGCGCACAACTTGTTGAGAAGGGAAAAACGTCAATGTCAGAAGTTTTTCAAGTATGGTATTGTCCCAATTTGGAGGCCTTTTTAGATAGTGTTCTTTTGTTGAAGTCAGTTTTTTTGTCGTACTTTACTTACCTTCCTAATTTTTCAGGTATTTTACTCTCTCACAATGGCAGCCACCGCGATATCTCAATCCAGCTTCATGTCTCCAGGAGCTAGTAAAGCAAAATGTTCTGTTGATTCAGTATTTGCTATTCTTGATCAGAAATCAGAAATAGACCCTAGTGATGAATCAGGAATGGTACTGGAAGATGTGAAGGGAGAGATTGAGTTCCATCATGTCACTTTCAAGTATCCAACTAGACCCGATGTTCATATATTCAAAAATCTTTCCTTAATCATTTATTCAGGACAGGTAACTTCAAAATTATAATCTATCAAAAACAATTCATCTAGGCCTTCATTATAGAGAAGCTTAAAGTTTGGTTGTTTCAATCAGACAGTTGCATTGGTAGGAGAAAGTGGAAGTGGAAAGTCAACTTTGATATCATTGTTGCAAAGATTTTATGATCCAGATTCAGGTCACATTAAACTGGATGGCATAGAAATCCGAAAGCTACAACTTAAATGGTTTAGGCAACAAATGGGCCTAGTAAGCCAAGAGCCTGTTCTGTTCAATGACACCATCAGAGCCAACATTTCCTTTGGAAAAGGTGGAAATGCATCTGAGGCTGAAATTATAGCTGCAGCAGACTGGCAAATGCTCATAATTTCATTAGCAGCTTGCAGCAGGTAAATATTTAATACACTGTCTATGAATCACGGACGCACTGACATAGACACGATAGTGACACTGGTTCGTAGACACTTGTAAAAATTTAATAAAAATTAGTTATCTATGCAGCATGGCTTATTGAAATCTAGAAAAACAACATATGCAGGGGTACGATACAATAGTCGGAGAGAGAGGGATACAACTGTCTGGAGGACAGAAGCAACGTGTGGCAATTGCAAGAGCCATAGTTAACAGTCCAAGAATATTGTTACTAGATGAAGCCACAAGTGCACTTGATGCTGAGTCTGAAAAAATGGTTCAAGATTCACTTGATAGAGTGAGGATGGACAGAACAACCATTGTGGTGGCTCATAGATTATCTACCATAAAAGATGCAAATTCAATTGCAGTTGTTAAAAATGGAGTGATTGAAGAGAAAGGAAAACATGACACATTGATCAACATGGGTGGTACCTATGCTTCTTTAGTAGCACTGCACACAAATAGCACTGCTTCATGTTAAGACTCTTTAAACCAGTTGTCATGGTTTCTTAATCATTTTGTAGTTTGTTTTAATATTCTATATTCTATAATAATATGAAATTTTGATATAAACTTGTAGCTAGCACTATTATTATAAAAAATACATCACAACTACTAATAGACATAAGTTTAAAAGTAGGTATAATAAAATTGTGTTGAAGCAAAGAAAAATTATAACGTCTTTTGAAGCAAAGAAAGAAACAAATTATTTTTTAAATATTTGTCTAAATTGTTTGACATATGTTGTATCAGTGTCAAATGGATATTAGACACTGTTTTAAAGAGTGTCAAAGTAAAAAAAATAAATCAGTTATTTGAAGATATTTGTTTGACTTTTCTGACACGTGTTTGATTTTTCCGACAAGTGTCATATAAGTATCTGACAGCGTGACATGTCTACTCTTAGAGGTGTATTTGCTTTATATATAGAAAGTGTTTTCCAATATTCTTCTAGTGGATTAGAAAAGAATTGCTAAACCTTATTCAACATATGACATTTCAGATTTAGTCATTGTGGTATATTTAAATGCACCAATAGACCTACAACTTGTGGGATAAAAAAGTTGAGCAGAACCAACCTTTGACAGTGTAGCGCTTGAGGCCATAGGTGATGCAATGCACTTAGGTGGATTATGTAATATAAAGACAGAAGTATCTCATACTTTCTGGTTGTGAACTTTAGGGGCAGAAGGGCAGCTTTGAGCCTATCAAACCAAGGTATTGGGGGCTTGTTTGAGGCTATATAGAGCCTATCGGAATTTTCTTTTACTTTAAACACCCATTTACACCAATAAGTTGTCTGTGCCAGGAGGAGGAACCAATGTTTATGTGTTATTTTTCATCACAGCATCATATTCTAATTGCATGGCAGCATGCCACATGCCACTCAGGAATTAGTGAGTTAAGAAAAGATTAATTCTTAATTAATTGTCTCAATCCTTAGAAATCAGTATGAAGGGTAATTTGGTAATTGTGAAGAGTGACATTTTAAAATTTTTGAGAGTTAGCAAGTCATTGCCAATTAAAGCCACTAGCAAACAAACAAATTTACTAACTTCTTTCTCTTTTCTTATTTTCCACATGTTTTTCTCTCATTCTTATCATTTTGCCAAGGATACAAAGGAAGTAAGAACTAATAATTAAACTAAATATTTAATCATTTTAATAATAATAACCATTTTTATTTTATTTAAACTTTCAAAAAATGAATATTAATTCTAATAAATTTGTTATCTAAAGATTAAGAAAAGTAAATATATAGTAAAATTATTAAAAAATAAAGATGATAAAATAAATTTGATTTTTACAGATTTGGTCCCCCTATTTTACTTGATTTACGAAATTGAACTTAATATTTTAAATTTAAACATTTTATGTCCACTTCTTATACTTTTGCACTTAAAGTTAAAAATATTTCTTATTTTTAAATGACAAATTACTTGTGAAACATGACAAGTTCTCGTGTATATATATATTTATTGTTGAATTTTATTGATAAAAATATAAGTTATAAAAATGAAATTTCATCGACTTTTTATGAAAAACGTGAAAGAAGACTAAAACTATTTGAATTTAAAATAGAAGGTTAACTTGATAAATCAGGTAAAATCGAGAGATCAAAATAATAATTTAATCAATAAATTTAATAGAGTAGAAAGGACCAGAGGTGGATGTGAGGCGGATATTAACATCCTTCGCCTCCATAATTAAAAAACACACCCACTTCAAATTAAATGAAATTTTTTCTATAAGAGTTAAGAGTTGGAGTCAGACAAATCCTTTTTGTTATGCCAACCTCAATAAACCAATATTGATGTGCATGACATTTAATGCACCTAAGATAATATAGTCTAAGACTACATCTAACTCTAATAAAATACAAAAATTCAAGTTGTAAGACATGTTTACTTAAAACACAATCTTAAAAGAAACTTCTAAAGATATTTTTTAATTTTCACTGGGAGATTGATGGAGCACTATGTTGTTCATGTCTGAATTGAAAACATTCTAAATCTCACATTAGTTACTCTCCAACATTAAATACGGAGCGTTCATATCTTTTTTCCAAAATAATTTGAAAAACAGTCTGAACTATTGATACTTTTTCTCTCTTCTCCCCTCTAATAGTGTAAATATTGAGTATGGACAAATTAAATGATTAAATTTCTAATTAATAAATTTATTTAATGAATGCCGGTTCAGACCGATACCTTTTTCATTCAGCTCCGGTCCAAATGAAAACAAAATTTGCAATTTTTTGAGTTTTTTTCTCCATTCCCAAAATTTTATCGGAATTCGACCTAACTTTCGTTTCTTCTTCACTAAACCGTCCGGCGAACCCTCCACCGTCACGCCGTTCTCGGCCGGAAGGTCAACCTCCTTCCTTTCCGGCTCGACTCTTCTTCGTTTTATCTGCTTCGCATCGCGTATTCTCTTTTTCTGCACGTTCCTCCGTCACGCCAAAACATCCTTCACCTTCGCTCGAACAGGTTTGTCAATCGATCCTTCTGCGTTTCTCACTTTCTCCGCTTCGAACAAGATTCCACTTGTTTCTTTAATATTCTGATTAGTATATTTTGTAATTGCAAGAATGAATTGAATTAAGTAATATTCTGATTAGTATAAACCCTAATAAAGTTGAATGAAGTTTATGAACCCTAATTATTAATTGTTTCAAAGGTGGATCGAACAATGACATGAAGGTCTTGCGCATTTCAACCTCCTGTTCGATTTGTAAAAAATTGGCATTAGGTTTTAGATAGTAGTTTAGAGGGTAACTGTGGCCTGTATTTAGTTGTTTTCACTTTTGTAATTCTGATTTATTAAGCATATCCTATTCACACCAGCTTTAAGCATGGATCCAGAAGCCGCGAGAAGTGCAAGAGAATCTTTGGACCTAGCATTTCACATGTCCAATATACTCGACACGGGTTTAGACCGCCATGCACTGTCTATTCTCATTGCCCTCTGTGATCTTGGGGTCAATCCTGAATCACTTGCTGCTATTGTCAAGGAACTTAGAAAAGAGAGGCCCCCACTGTCATCATTGCATCCCACACCTCCTTCTTAATCATACATGTATTTTGTTGATTTTATCTCCAATATTGTTTTGTGGAAGGTATATTTTATGCTTACATTTGAATTATTGTATTGTATGCAAAGGGGATACATGGAACAAAAAGATTGGTTTATCAAGAAATGCTGATTGTTTTGGGAACATTGTAGATAACCAGAGCAATGGAAGAGTAGTTCAGGTGTATAGGATTTCTGCCTAACAGAAGTGCTTGTTGTGTTTTGTTCTTATTTTACTTGAAGACTATTTGTTTACAAAAACTATTGTCTAACTTTATTGTAAGGATTGTTTTTTTTTTTGTCAACTAGTCTAGTGGCTGGAGTTCAAACTCACACCCCTACCTTTGATGTTCCTCCACAGCTGAGTTCACTTATTGTATCTTTTTATTACATCTATGAAACAAGGAAATCCTTCCTTTCGTGTTTTATGTGACTTGTGTACATTTCATATATTTTAGGTATTTTTGTTTGTTTCCTACATTTTTGTAAGCTCAAATCAGGCTTGAAGGTGTTCCTAGTTTTATGAGACTTGCCTATTATTCTTATGTTTAGGTTCAATGACCTTTGATTTTAACTGTTAGTTCATATATTACATGTTCTGTTTTTAAGGATTTTTATACTTTGCTTTCATGCGTTAGTGTACGGATCATAATGTCTACGTCTTTTACTTCATATTGAAAGTGCATTTTATTAACTAGTCAGGGCTCTAATGTATATCTGTGTAATGTTAGATTAGATCCTGGGGCAAATTTATCATTCCCCATTTAAAAAAAATCTAGGTTCAGTGCTCGTTAGTTTGCACATCACATTTTTAGCAATTTGGTTTTGCGCCCGTGTGCGGGTTCTGTGTAGATGTCCGTCCATCTTTGGATTTAGATTTGTTTTCTAATTTTGATTTCCTTATCCATTGGAATTGTATTTTCACTGTATTACCCTCTTCTGCATTCCGCTTTCTAAAGAAAAAAAGATAGAATTTGTCAAATGTATTGTAGTTACTTGATGTCATCTAAAATCTCAAAATATTCAATATTCAAAAGAATTGAATGTCTTATGAAGGTCACACAAGCTATACATATTTGTCTCAATGCTTCTACTGCCTTTTCTCCAACCCAAGAGTTTTTCTTCAATTCTTTTTCCAAGGGATATGTAACTTGGCCTAAGGCTAAAAAAATTATGATCAAAATTCAAAATAAGGATAGGCCTATTCACTGCTCCATCTATCCCAAATCACAAATCTGTTTAAACTTTCATAACCACTTTCTTTAGGATGTGTTAAGATCCCATCATAAGATTGTGTTTGTTGTTAGTATTAGGAAACCAAGTGGATTTACTCTTTTTTATCATTATAGTGGGTTTAGTGGTGTAAACACATGATGATAGTTTATCACACCACAAACTTGCTTATTATTTACTTTTAAAAAAACAGCACTGGATAGAAACATGGTCCTACCTATATTGAGCATCAAATAATCAACCACTAAACTATCATCAACGGGTAACTAAAAACTCCCAAATCACTTGATCAGGTCAACTGCTTAGCTTCAAATCTACCATTCATAGTGTATCTTTATGTCATTCTCATATCATAGCTAACTTAATTTCCAAATAAAGTACACTTTCATCCACTTAATTAATGAAATTAGAAAACTTTCGAACCTACACATTTAGCTTAGCACCTGACATGCCTCTTTGTTATGCACAACGTATATCAAAGCTTGAAGGCCTATGGTTATGGTTGAAGTGCCTCATGATAGACTATAAGCTACTAACAAAATAGGTATATGTATTTGGCAAGTAATAAGAATGGTTTAAAAAGAAGAGTGCAGAGTGAAAAATACCATATAAGGTAATAACTTTTCAAATGAGGAACAATGATTTCCTAACCCATGTACAAAAATTTCATGCCTACATTTATCTAGTAAGATCCGTCCAACATTCCATGTTTGAACAAGACACAGTACGCTACAATGGTAATTACGATGAAGATTTCAATATCACACTAGGATTTTAGTACCCTACCAAGTCAGATTTGTTCTCAATACCAGTTGTTGAAAGTAATAATAGACCAAAGATCATCACATTTTTTATAAATCAAACATTTAGGTAGTTCATAATTGATTTGAGACTAACTAATAAAACCGTCATTAACATTTAAAATACTGGGTAGGAATTTCAATTTTGTCATGTGACAAAACGTGTAGGATTGTATTTAATCACAATTTTTTTTTATTCTCTGGTTCTTATGGGAAATAAGTCTTGGTAATTTAAAATTCGATCAGAGAGATATTTAATCACAATTTAAATGTGATAAATGTGATAAATATGTAGATAAATTTTATTTAACGATAGTAAAATTCTAGGTCATATTCAATTACTCACCTTACACTCTTTAATAGTCTGTCTTTGTTAACTACTTATACTTAAACCTAAACTCAATGTCTTGTTAACTAATTATACTTAAACCTAAACTCAATGTCTTGTTAACTAATTATACTTAAACCTAAACTCAAAACTATGATAGTGTGAATACAAGATGTTCAAATGAACTATCCGTAAGAAAAAGACAAATATTTGTTTTGCCTCCAAGGGATATCGTTAGAAGTTTATTAAGAAATTAATTAAAAACTAGTTTGATATAAACGTCTTAAGATAGTTAATTCTTTTAATTATACTGATGTACCAACTAGAAAAGGGTCAAGTTTGTGTTCACACCTCTATATAGCAAGAGGGTTTAAAGTTTAAGCACATGATTTCAAGACCCTAAGTTACAAAAGACAAAAGGAATGCAATTACAACCTCCTTAACTATGACACCTCATCCGACATGAAATCACAACAAACAAGTGAAAACTTGGAATTTTTCCTTAAATATTTTAAGTATTACTTCAAAGGGAATCACTTATTTACCTATATACTCAACCCCCTACAACCCTTTTTCTCTCCATAGCCTTCCCCTTCATCATACATTTCCAACTCTTTCATAATCAAATATCAATTGCCACAAAGAAGAAAAAAATCCATATAAGACAAGTATATATATCTACCTAAACTCATTGGTAAAAGCTAAGGTACCTATTTTCTCTTTTTAACCATACTTTATCTATATATATCTTACACAAAATTTATACATGTTCATATTTCTTACTAGATGATGACATCAAAGAGATTTTATTGGCATAGCTTGGAAAGGATTTCTTCATGATTCATCTAAAATATACAAGTTTTTACACAGGTATTTATGTTGTTCATTGTTTAGCTTTTACAAAAACTAATTAATTAATTAATTTCTAATCAAAGGAATAGAGACAAACAAGTGATTCAGTAAAAATGTTTTTTTTGCATTTGGTGTCATGTGAAATATGTGGCAAGAAAGTAGTGAGTAGTAAACGGTGGTTTCTGATTTTTGTCTCTCACTTTCATGCACACATTCATGCACTGTCACATGTGGATATGCTTCTAAACTTTCTTCATATTTCACGGATTCATTAGACTAAATGTTTGGTGAAAAAAATTGTACATACGTAACACCAACCAATACACCTTTGGCATATACGTTAAACACTGCCAATCATTCATGTTTTGCCTAATTAAGTAATGAAACAAGTTTCATAAACAAATCAAACATGGTCATGAGTTTACTTGACATGAATTTTTTATAGGACAATAAACTTACTTGTATTTTCTTGGATGTTTTTTGTCTTGTTATGACAAATGGAACCATAACCACTCACTCTAAATTTATTTTAAAAATTTTACAAAAAAATTGTAATTTAATTTTATACTTAGTACCACCTTTATATATTCCCTTTTTATAACTGTTTTTTCTATTGTTACTATGCAAGTTATTGGGGCCTATCGAATATTGTTTTATCGACAATGAATCATGATTCAAGAATTGATGTACATCTTTTTGTTAGTGGGTTTTGCTTTACTTGATTCTATGCCTATTTACTACATACATTTGCGAGGCTATTTTTTGGATGCATTTGCATGCACTGCCCCTCTCTCCTTTTATTTTTAACAATAATTATTAAAAATAGTATAATATTTTATGATATATTTTTAAATCAAATAAAAATAAAAAGAATTAAAATAGACTAACAATATGAAAAAGTTTTCATGTATGAAACTTATATCTTATTAGATTGTTATTTGTTATACACTAATAAAAACTCAAGTAAATCATGTAACAAATGTTAATTAACGACGTAGCGAGTCACAAAGTAGAACACGAAGCAGAAATATTTGTAATAATTTTTTTGTATTTGTAGTAATTTTTTTTTCACGTAAAAAATCACGACACAACTTTGTCACATAATTTTGATGTTGCAATAATTTATCACGTGATTTTTAAGCCACGAAATTTTACTGTATAGTATATTTGCATTGTTACAATTCAGAATAGCAGGTTTTACCACGTGATTTTTATAACACACAATGAGTTTTGCAGATTTTTTACACCACTAAATTTAAAACATTATTCATTAATTAGCGACGTGTTAGCCACAGATTATATATATATATATATATATAATAAAGTATGAAAAAAAATTAATAAATAATAAAAAAATTCAAATAATAATTAAAAAGTATTTATTTTCTTACAATTAAAAATACTAATATTATGCTATATTAATTAAAAATGTGAATTTCAATTAAAAATAATTAAATATATTTAAAAAACTAATATTTAAAAATAAAATAACAATAAAGAAAATCAATCAAGATCATCATCCCCATCATCTATATCTTCGTCCATATCATTATCATTGACATCATCCACATCATTCTTGATTGAATTATTTATTTAATTCTCTTGTTGTGATAGTAATTTTCGCATTATTTCTTCGATCTCAAATATCTAAATAATGATTCGGACACATGTGTAAATATATTTACAATATACAAAAATTTTAAACTTTTTTACGAAAATGCTAATTTGTGTAAAAACTAAATATAGAAATCTTAATTTGCAAATCGTGCATTTTTTTAAAAGTTTAAAGTTTGTTTTCACGAACACAAAACACTTTTGGTATTGATATTTTTTAATATATATATCTAGAGCGCAAATTAGCTTGATTTTTTTTAATATCATTTAAAGTAAATTGTTTTTTTTTAATATGAATGAATTGCTTTACTTTAACTCCACCAATTACTAACAAATATTTAAATATGTTAGCTTTTTTTCTTTCTTTATATTTGATTCCCCCTATGTTATGTAACTCTCTTTGCTTGAATTCATAGTGGTAATTAGCCGTGAAGACAAAGAAAGGAATGTGATACAATACAAATCAACTTTGAAGAGAATAATTAGGTGAATTATTATTCGGTAATATATTTAATGATAATATATCAAAAATAATTTAAAGATAATTTACTTAGTTATATTAATTGAAATAATTTATAATATTATAAATTTTTATATTCAAAGATAAATTAAACATTATAGTTGATAATTAAAGTGAACGTTAATTAGTGTTAAATGATGATGCTTCCTTATAAATCTTTCTACATAGAAGTACTTATTTCTCTATTAAATTTCACATGACTTTTGCAATTAATGTTGAGGGTTGAATAATTGTTAGTTTCTTCTAAATTGCATTAAGAAACAATTTTAGACCCACAACAACTTTAGCTATATGTATGCAGTATATGCTAATTGGTTCCTCGTTACAACAACTTTTTGCTGTTTTACATTACAAGACACAGAATAAAACAAAATCACCAGACAAAATAGATCCAATTTGGATTTTCTTTCAAGACCATATTTTTAATCTATTAATTCAGTTCGAAAATCAGTTCTGTCATTAAATAATTTCATCTCTTTTTATATCTGCACAAAAAAAAGTACAAAATACACACATTAAAATATACAAATTTTAAATTTTGATCCATCGCAAAAAATAAAAACAAAATAATTAGGTCGAACACAAGTTGAATAAGACAGAAAAATAAAATAAATTTTTTTTCTTCTGTTTTGTCCAGCAACATCTAACTGTACATGATGGAGCATTCACCTTATGTCACTTTCTTTCTGTGTGGTTAGGTTCAAAGTGTTCATCTATGGCAACCATCTACCACATACATACACACACACACCATTTCTCCACTCACACACAACACACACGTGTGTCGCATAAACTCTGTCTTTTTTTGTTTATTCTACGTGTCAGGTTCCTATTACAACAGTACTTTCTCTTTGTCCTTCTTTTCATCTTTTCTCTCTTCTTTCACACCCCATTTTCAGCATCATAACCATGAAGCAAAAAAATCCAACATCAACCACACCAAGAACTTCGCTCAGACATCAACAACAACAGCAACATAGTACTGATACTATGTCTCTACAAGCTGTTCCACAATCAACAACAACAACAACAACAACACGTTTTAGAGTAAGAGCTTCTTCTAAAACCAAAGAATCTCCAAAAACACCACCAGAGATTGTTAATAGACTCTCCCCCATTTCATCAACAAGAGCCAAGTCAGTACCTCCAGAGTTCAAGAACAATTCAAAGGCCAAGAGGAGTATTGTGATGAAATCCATTCAAGAGGTTGAAACTTCTCACAAAGGTAGTACTAGTAGTAGGGAAGTTGAAGAACCTAAGGTTGTTTCCGTTGCTGTTGTTGCTCATGATGTGAAGGAGAAGAAGGAGTTGCTTGAGAAGCTTGAGGTGAGTGAGAGTTTGATCAAGAATTTGCAGTCTGAGGTGAAGGCTTTGAAGGATGAATTGGAACATGTTAAGAGCTTGAAAATTGAGCTTGAGTCTCAGAATATAAAGCTTACTCAGAATCTTGCAACTGCTGAAGCTAATTTAGCAGCTGTTGCCACCACTAGTACTAGAAAGGTGAGAAATTTGTATATTAATTCGTTTGTTTTCTTCTCCTTTTGATTCGCAGTGCAATGATTCTGATTTTTATTTTTCTTGAATGAAGGAGACAATTGGAGAACACAAGAGTTCCAAATTCAAAGACATACAAAAACTCATTGCTGACAAATTGGAAAGGTCTAAGGTGAAAAAAGAAGCTAATCATGACGCGATTTTCGTTAAAGCTTCCATTCCAATTCCAGCTCCAACACCAAGTCATGCCATTCCTGAAACTACAAGTATAGGAAGAAAATCAAAATCACCAACCAATCAATGCCTCATGCCACCTCCTCCGCCTCCACCACCACCGATTCCGTCTCGGCCTTTGGCAAAATTGGCCAACACTCAAAAGTCTCCTGCAATTGGCCAACTATTTCACTCGTTAAAAACTCAGGACGCGAAGAAAGACTCGAAAGGCTCCATGACTCATCATCAAAAACCAATAACTAACAGTGTACACAATAGCATTGTAGGAGAAATTCAAAACCGTTCGGCTCATCTGTTAGCAGTAAGCATTGCATTTAATTATGTTAACGAACTTTCAAAATTGTTCTGTTGGTCTGGCTGATAAGACTGACCATTGTTTCTAGATAAGGTTGGACATTCAAACAAAAGGAGAGTTCATTAATGAGCTTATTAAAAAGGTGGTTGACGCAACCTATGTCGATATTGAAGACGTCCTCAAGTTTGTTGATTGGCTTGATGGTGAACTATCTACTTTGGTAAGTTTCTGCCAAAATTATTTATTGGTGGGCCATTGATGCAATCAATTCGCTTTCATAAGATAGATAGTTTTGAAAATTTTCTTATGTCTAGATAAGATCCTTTTCTGAGTACCCTCTTATGGTGCTGTCATGTGCAGGCTGATGAGCGTGCGGTCTTGAAGCATTTTAAGTGGCCTGAGAAGAAAGCTGATGCGATGCGTGAGGCTGCAGTTGAGTATCGTGAGCTCAAAATGTTGGAACAAGAGATTTCATCATACAAGGATGACCCTGACATTCCGTGTGGGGCTAGTTTGAAAAGGATGGCAAGTCTATTAGACAAGTAAGATTATTGTGACTGATTCTATTTATGAAGTATGATAGATTTACCGGTGGGAGGGGCTAATTCTGTTCCGCATTGTGGTAGGTCTGAGCGGAGCATACAGAAGCTAGTCATGCTGCGAAATTCTGCCATACGTTCTTATCAAGTTTACAATATTCCAACTGCATGGATGCTTGATTCGGGAATAACGAGCAAGGTATTGTTTTCTGTAAAACAATGACTCGGGCACCCCTATCGGCCTTTGAAAAGGCTTATTAGAACTTGAGTTGATTAAAAACTCACCATTTACGCAGATAAAGCAGGCTTCTATGACTCTAGTGAAGATGTACATGAAAAGATTGACGTTGGAGCTCGAATCCATTCGAAATTCAGACAGAGAATCCAGTCAAGATTCTCTTCTACTACAGGGTGTGCATTTTGCTTACAGAGCGCATCAGGTAATTTCTAATGAATTCTGTAGCCTGAAACTGTTGAGAAAAACGACATGTGAAAATATCGATATTGAAGCCTTAAATTCTAACCATGTTTTGTTTGTTGTTTTGAAGTTTGCTGGAGGTTTGGACAAAGAAACTTTGTGTGCATTTGAAGAGATAAGGCAACGTGTACCAAGAAACCTCGCAGGATCTAGAGAACTTTTGGCTGGCATAGCATCATCATGAGAAATCACTGATTTTTAACACTACTGCTAATGGTTACAAAATGTTGGCTACTAAACATTTATTATTCTTGAAATATCTTTTCCAATGCTCAATGCTTACTATGAAGTATGAAGGCTTTCACTCAGAAGATTTTGTGAAGAAAGTACACTCCAGTCCATAGATATTTCTGCTATGAAATTGTAACTACCTGTCTCAATCTAGGAATAGGATCTTCATTTATGAGTTGTTGATTTCAATAGTGAATTTTTTTGAGATAGTTCTCTCTAATGTTGTAGCTTTGCAGTGTGTAGCTGCTTATATATGTTTAACAATTTACAAAGTTACTTTAATAATGTAATATACTCATGTTTCATATCAAGTGTAGTGTTTTGTCCAATACATATTGAAGCTGTCTCTACTGTGCTAGATTTGGATCCGCCATCTTTAATTTCTGGAGATTGTTCTTCTTCTTCCCATACTGACTCACATAAATCCGAAAAGGTTTTTTAAATTATATGGAAGTTAACTTTTGGACACCCCAAAACACTTTGTAAATGTGAGTGTTGTTATAAGTTGTATGGATATCTTAATGCGAATAATATATAAATATTTAATGTGGTTTATGGCATACATAATTATGATTGCTACATGTTAGTTAGTCGGTCATTTTATTGTATGTCGTTTTAATTATGAAGAGAAAAATCTTGTTTTTGACATGACATTGACATGATGCAACCCAACAACATATTTGCAATTTTAAAACATAAAACTGTCACGAAATTTGGCTTGATGCCTTTCTCATTGCCTTTCATACTATATATAATAGTGTCGGTAATTACAACTCATAATAACTAATTATAGCTGATAATGACTAATTACAATTCATAATGACTAATTTCCTATTCTATAAATGTAAATTATTCACAATAACTGCAAAGATTATTTCCTAATTAACATCCCCCCTCAAATTGATGCGGCTGGTCAAGGAGCATCAATTTGCTAACAAGAAACTGATGTCTTGGGCGTGGAACAGCCTTGGTAAGAATATCTGCAACCTGCAACTGCGTACTGACGTGAGGAAGTGATATTATTCGATCATCGTAGGCGTCACGTATTGAATGACAATCAACTTCGATATGTTTGGTGCGTTCATGAAAAACAGGATTTGCAACAATTTGGATGGCACTTGTATTGTCAGCATAAAGTGAAGTTGACTCTGTTTGGAGAAATCCAAGTTCAGCCAAAAGACCACGAAGCCAAAGTATTTCTGAACACGCAGCAGACATGGCATGATACTCTGATTCAGTAGAAGATTTAGAAACTCTTGCTTGCTTCTTACTTTTCCAAGAGATCAATGAAGAACCAAGAAACATACACCAACCAGTAACAGATCGACGAGTATCAGGACACCCTGCCCAATCAGCATCACTATAAGCGCTCAACTGAAGAGAAGTTCCAACGGAAAAGAATAATCCGCGGTGAGAGGTTCCTTTTAAGTAGCGAATTATACGACGAACTGCAGCCAAGTGAAGATGGCGAGGAGAATGCATGAATTGACTTACTTGTTGAACAGCAAAAGATATGTCAGGGCGAGTAATAGTCAAGTAGTTGAGGCTACCCACAAGTTGTCGATACAATAAGGGATCAGGCAACAGATCCCCATCATCACGATGATATTTAACATTAACCTCAAGAGGAGTATCTACTGGATTAGCCGATTCAAGACCGGCCATAGAAATCAAATCTGTAGCATACTTGTGTTGATGGAGAAAGATGCCCTTGGATGTAGAATGAACCTCAAGACCAAGAAAATAATGTAGATTACCCAGATCTTTCATATGAAATGAGGCCTGTAGCTGTTGCTTAAGTCGCTGAATGGAAGCATGATCCGAACCAGTAATAACCATATCATCAACATACAAAAGAAGCAGAACAATACCCGCAGATGTGCTATGAATAAATAAAGATGAATCATACTGACTCTGAGTAAAGGAGAATCCAAGTATAGTGGCGCGGAATTTCTCGTACCATGCTCGAGGTGCCTGTTTCAAACCATATAAGGAGCGTTTGAGCTTACACACGCCTTTAGATGAAGAGAATAAGCCTTGAGGTGGAGTCATATAAATATCTTCTGTCAGGTCACCATGAAGAAAAGCATTCTTCACATCCATTTGATGAAGAGTCCACCCATTAGAAGCAGCTATAGACATGATTGTGCGGACAGTTGTCATTTTGGCAACCGGTGCAAATGTCTCATCATAATCAATTCCATATTCCTGCTTGTTTCCTAACGCAACCAAACGAGCCTTGTAACGGTTGAGGGACCCATCAGAATTCAGTTTCACAGAATACACCCATTTGCAACCTATAGGTTTTACATTTGGAGGACAAGTGACGATATCCCATGTGAAATTCTCTTGAAGAGCTTGGAGCTCTTCAGTCATTGCTTTTATCCATCGCACATCTTTAACAGTCTGTGAGTAACAAGTAGGAATAGATATGCTAGAGAGTGTGGCAGTCAGAGAAGTATGTGAGGAATCATACCTGTCTGGTGAATATCTATCTGGTGCGCGGGATATTCGACCAGAACGTCGTGGTTCAACCGGTACAGGATCAGGTGGCAGTTCAGCATCGGGAAGGGGTGTGGGAACCTGTTGTCTGTGTTTTCTGACATATACATGACCTGGTTTATAACGTTCTATAGCTTGAGGCATAATAGAAAACTTAGGAAGAGTAACAATATCATTAATGGCAGGAGAACCACAGAGAAACATAAACTGATTATCAAAAAATGTCACATTTCTAGAAATGCGAAAACGATGGTTAGAGACATCATAACACACAAATCCCTTATGAGAGTTACTATATCCCATAAATGCACATTGAACGGATTGTGCTCCAAGCTTATGCCTTTCAAAAGGAGGTAAGTGAACAAAACACACACACCCAAAAGTATGTAAAGCACTATAATCAGGATGAATTTTAAATAGACGGAAGAAAGGAGAATCAAGATCAATAACTGTAGAAGGAATACGATTGATCAAGAAGACAGCCGTGGAAAGAGCCTCCACCCAAAATCGGGATGGTACAGAAGCTTGGAGAAGTAAGGTGCGTGTTACATCAAGCAAATGACGATTCTTACGTTCTGCCGTGCCATTTTGTTGAGGGGTATTGGGACAAGACCGTTGAGACAAGATGCCTTTTTGTTGAAGGTATTCCTGAAACTCATGAGACATGTACTCACCACCAGAGTCAGATCGAAAAATTTTAACACTTGCTTGAAATTGAGTTTCAACATATGTCAAATATTTCTTAAACATAGAAAACACTTCGGATTTAGAACGGAGAAAATATATCCAAGTAAAACGACTATAATCATCAATAAATGTGACAAAATATTTATAGTGAGCATGAGAAACCACAGGAGACATTCCCCATACATCACTATGAATCATCTCAAAACAAGTGGAAGCACGATTAACACCAGACGGAAAAGGAAGTGTCTTACTTTTAGCCAATTTGCAAACAGAACATGAAACAGAGGCATCAGGAATAACATTTTTATTTCCCAACAAGCCACTTTTACATAAATGAGACAAAACAGAAGAGTTTGGATGACCTAGTTTTCTATGCCAATCCTCATAGGAATTCAAAACATTATGACAAGCAAGAGACAAATGATTAGAAATAAACTGTATTGGAAACAATCTTCCCACTTTAGGCCCCTTCGCGATCACTTTCCCCGACACCTGCTCCTGCACAAGACAACCAGATCGAGAAAAATTAACATTACAATTATTGTCCACCAATTGACCAACAGACAATAAATTAGAAGCAAGTCCAGGTGAGACAAGCACATTCTGAAAATCCGAGTTTATGTCCCCAACGTTAGTGATAGACAAGGTATTACCATTAGCAATCTGAATTTTCTGATTACCATGATAAGAATGTAAATTGTGCAAGTTTTCAGATGAACCTGTCATGTGATTGGATGCACCAGAATCAATAAACCATGGACGAGAAACATGAGAAGACTTACCCTTAATACCCAAGGCTGAAAGGGCAGAAAGTACCATGTGTTGAATCATTTCAGGTTGTAGAGCATTGCCATCTGATGCACCAGTGGTGGAAGAGCCAATTGTATGGCCTGTAGTGGCATGAAATGCCTTCACCGAATGATGTGCTGGTCGTGGAGGACGCGTGGGACAGTCAGAAATGATATGACCTTGTTGTTTGCAATAATTACAAAACTTCTTACTGCAGCTACGAGCAATATGTCCAAACTGTTTGCAAGAAAAACATTGGACATGTTGCATATCACGACCTTTATTTCTACTTTGAGCAGCATATGCAATTGCCACAGGCTCAGAACTGACAGTATCATGAGACATGGTTCCTTGAGTAAGGAGACGTTGTTCCTCCCTGAGAAGTTCACCAACACATGTATCCAAAGAAGGAACAGGATTCCTATTTAGCAAAGCACCTCTGACAACCTCAAATTCTAGACGAAGCTTCATAAGAAATTGATCTCGCCTACTTGTGTTGTAGACCTCTTGAACAGCCGCAAGAGAGGTCTTGGGAACATTAGCATGTATAATAGCAGAGTGTTCTGCCCAAAGATTTAAAAAACCATAATAGTATTCTTGAATAGACAAATCACCTTGTTTGTAGTTGGCGATGTCTAACTCCAACTGAAAACGTTTTGCCGAATTGTCCTGGTTGTAAATGCGCTTCAGATAATTCCACATTTCTTGAGCAGTTGAAAAAGAACGCAAATTATTTATCATCTGAGGATCAATACTGTTTAGAATCCAAGTGATAATTTGAGCATCTTTAGTTTCCCACGCATCTAAAGCAGTTTTCTCCGTTGGTGCCTTAGAAACATCATCTAAGTGACTCCATAATCCCTTTCCTTTAACATACATCTTGAACTGAAATTCCCATGCCGAATAATTCTTGCCGGTAAAACGAACACAAAAATTATCTCTTTCTTTTTCGGAAGCCATCTAAATTATTAAACCACCAGATACAATCTCACTAATATTATTTTTTTATTATTATAATAATAGTTATAATAATAATAATAATAATAATAATAATAATAACTATAATATAATAACAGTAACTGTAATCACAATTACTAGAGCAGCAACAAGAAACAATACCCACGAACCAACGAACAACAGCACGATCAAATCCACGATTTGGAAGGAGCGGCAAAACAGAAGATTATGACGATCCAGAATCACGAAGCAACAACAGCCAAGAACCAAAAAAAATTGATTGCAATATCAGCGCAACAACGAGAATCTCCAAGACGAAATCACAACCGGCAACCAAAGATTTAGAATCTCAGACAGCTGCAAGGTTTCAATTTCAAACGAAAGAATTTCGAAACGAACACGATTACGAGAGCGAACCAGTGGGGTATCGCTGATCAGCCAATATAATAATATTTTCCAGGTTTGATCGAACCTACTGATACCATGTCACGAAATTTGGCTTGATGCCTTTCTCATTGCCTTTCATACTATATATAATAGTGTCGGTAATTACAACTCATAATAACTAATTATAGCTGATAATGACTAATTACAATTCATAATGACTAATTTCCTATTCTATAAATGTAAATTATTCACAATAACTGCAAAGATTATTTCCTAATTAACAAAAACACCTCGTAATATCTCAAATATTAAGCAAATATATAATGTTCATACTTGAAATAACAACTATTTCTACTCTTGAAGTTTTTGGATGATAATCATTATGTATCTTAGTACCGAGTGTGGGAAAAAGGAGAAACCGTTTGAAATATATTTTAAAGCCATATATATATATATATATATATATATATATATATATATATATATATATATATATATATATATATATATATATATATATATATATATATATATATATATATATATATATATATATATATATATATATATATATATATATTGTTGTGAATCGGATACGTTTAAACAAAGTATAAACGGTTTATTAATGATCAAGAAACTCACAAGGGTTAGGGTTAACAAAGAAAACAAGGTAAAACAACAAAGAACAACAAGGATTGGTTATTAAAATGTTATTCTTTCCTTTCTCTTAGAACAAGATTACAAGTATACAAGAATAACAAAATAACCTCTCTCTCTTGAAATTAGGATTTTATCTTCCTATTTTTCCTTATGCCAAAATTGAGAAACTAGCATCCTATTTATAATAAAATAGCACACTAACCTAATGGACTTTTTAACAATTACCCATTACAAACTAACTTAGGGTACAAGCTAACTTAAACAATTGGGCTTACAAACAAGGCCCAATTCAACATGCTAACAACCCTAGCAATATTGACTAATGCATGTTAGAACAAACTTCGACTACAACACGCATTACTTGCGAACAGACTTCGACTATACTAGAGTTCGATCCAACATCTCACACACACACACACACACACACACACACACACACACACACACACACACACACACACACACACACACACACACACACACACACACACACACACACACACACACACACACACACACACACACACACACACACACACATATATATATATATCCTGGATTCTTGATTCAATTGCACATTAGGGAATAATGTTTACAATTGAATCTCAACCACACCAGTTTCGCTCATGATTAAGATTATTAGGGATTAATGAAGAAGTGATGACTATGTTATTTATAAGAAAATGAAACTCTAACTTTTATCTAACATACTAAATAATTGGCCCAACAAACTGCCCCAATTCAACATGCTAATAACCTAGCATATTTCGACTGTTATACTGATTCTTCGACTTAGACAGAGTTTACTACAACACTAGCTTATAACCTATAAGCTACGAATCTCCACCTTTGAACAAACTCTGAACAATGAAACAAACTAGTTGTTATCATGTAGTCATATCAGTCGAAACCTTCACACTTTAACTTTTCCACGCTCGATTATCTCTTTGATAAACTGATCTACCATCTTGATCACATAATTTCTCAAACACGTCTTTGTTTGCATTCATGTGTCAAGTACAACCTGAATCCATAATCCACTCCTTGCTAGAGCGGCTACTTGAAACACAAGGACATTAGATGATTCATAATCATCTTGCACAATGGCTGCATTACCATTATCCTCTCTACCATGATTTTTCAGACATTCAAGACACGCCTTTCTTGTATGACCCTCCTTCTTACAATGATAACACCTAATAGTAGGAGCATTACCACCATAAGAATTCTGTAGAACCTTATCATTCTTCCTCTCATACTTACAATGTTAAATTTATGTTAGCTTTAACGATTATCAAAGTAATGTTTATTTTGATGTTATTTTATGTTATTTTTCTATTATTCTACCATTATTTTTGATTTGACCTAACAAGACATATTTCGGAGATACATCCCTGAAACACTTACTAAATATTGAATTAAGGGTTGTTTCGGGGAGGCACTTTGGACTCACTGATCCGCTGTCGCGCGCGGATCAAAAACGAGTAATTTTAGGAAAATGCAGTATAGCGACAGTGACTCGAAATATCGTTCTCAAAAGGATTCTTGTAGTGATTGACCAATAAAGTAATAATTTATGGGGGTTTGAATTTTGATTAAGAGAAAAAATACTGAAAATAAGTGATTATAAAAAAAATGATTATTAAAATAAGATAAAACGGCTAATCCTACTGATTCGGGTTCCGACTTATCATCGACTATTATAACATCAATCCCTAAACGGCTTCAATCCTATTCGATTATGATATTAATCAGACAAGCGCTTACCAACATCAAATGAATTATGTTCCTGTTTACCGAATTAAGCAAACGGTTAAGAATATGACGAATTAACGAATTAAGCAAACGATAACACGCAATTAAATTTAGGAACATGCATACAATCGAATTTAATCAATTCTATCCTATGAACAACAATTGAATTAAGCAAACAATTGCAATCAAATTAAGCAAATGACTTCATAGAAAAGGATTGAAAGGAATCAGATTTAAATTGATATTATAATAACCTCAAAGTGTTGAAACCATACACAACAGGATTTGCCCAGAGGTATTAGTTTTTCATGAGTTCTTCTCAAAGGTTTTTTTTTTATTTTTTCGTGAATAGTGAATAGGATTTTCTTTTTTTTTTTGGCTGTACGGTCAGACCTAGACTAAAGAGGATAAAAACCAGAATTCGGGTCATAACCCAACTGGGTCAAAAACATAATTCAGGCCCAAAACAAGATCAAAACTAAAACAGAATTCTAATGCTATAACTTGAAACGAAATTCTGGAATTTTGAGCTCCGAATCTGACTTCGACTCCAACATGAAAGTCGTAGCTCTCTCTCTTAGCTTTCCGGTGATTTTTAGAACGCCTCAAACGGACTCCCGGAACTCCAGTTATGATTTTTCTCGCGAAAGCTGCTAGAGCTGAAAAATAAATACGAAAAACAATTAAATGCAAAAATAAAATAAAATATAAAAACACGTTAAAACATAAAAATAAATAAATAAAATCAAAGAAATGCTTGAGTACAAACATGGAAGAACGTGCATCAAAATACACTGATCACTCACCCTAATGTGTATACAAAAATGCATATTCAAACTAAATTTTTTTAAAATAAAAGTGTCTCGACAATTTGATTTGACGTGTGTGGGAAAACGGTGCATCTGGAGATATTCTAAAGGCAGTTTTGACTTTTCACCATAGTATGGAAGCATTTTATATGGTGAGATGAGTATCCCCTATTTTAAAACTCCGAATTTGTCTTCTTTGAAGGTCTAATTAGCATATTAGACTACTTAAAAATCAATGTCATTTCAACATGTATAAAACAAGTAATTCAATTCATGTTTAAATAAATTAATTAATTAAATAATCAACGAGACTAAAAATTTGTTTGTATTAATTTTTGTAAATTTATTTAATAGTATAAGTTTTTCGAAATTATTTGATAAAAAAACTTATGAAAATAATCAACTTATTTTACAAATTTTTTTAAGATCATTAAATTTAAATTTCATATTTAACTTGATGTTTTATAAGATCTGACTATATAAAATATCATATTTCAATTTTGATTTATAATAATCTGATCTAATATGTTTAAAAACTTTTTGTGGTCTATGACCAAAATTGTTTAATTAAATTTTTTTAGAAAAATCTAGACTTTTTCTATTTTATAAAAAACTTGATCCAGGATATTATTGGATAAGTTACTAGATTCGCATGACTCTTTTATTCTTTTATTCGATATTCAAACAATGTTGGATGTCAACCTACAAATTTAATCAAAATTATTTATTTTGGATTTAATTATTCTGTGATGCTCAAAGTATTTTAAATAATTAAATCCATTAGCTCCTTGCACATATAAATTACTAATATTATTAAAAAAATTTAACACGAGTTTTTAATTAGCTTTCTATAAATAAATAAATACTGTACTCATGTATTCCCAAATATGAAACGCGTTTTCGTCTACATATACCTTTCTTTCAACACGTCAACAAAAGCCTTACACGTGTCACCACGTGGCTTTCCTCCCAACCACACGATGCATCTAAACTTACACGAACGGCAGATATCAAACCAATCGTAACCCGGCCACGCGAAAACTGAAATCTACCACACGCCCGCCATATTCAAACACAAACCCCTCGCCACGTCATCAACATCCACTCAAAAAGCGCCACGTATGTTACATTTAAAAAACAAGGTTTCGATAACAACCACCGATAACAAAAAGGAATAGATAAAAACCTCTTTCAAGTTTCAACTTCAACGACACTCACCGTCACCGTCAGACATGGAGGCTTCAGGCACTGTTTTCCGTCAGCTAACCTGCTTCTCCGGCGCTGGAAGTAACGCTAATCGTCGTGGCGTGCTTCCACGGAGAGACGTTGGTAGAGTGAGAATGTCGATGGGGATTGATTTCCGTGACGAGAGTCACTTGCAGTATTACCAGGAATTGAAGAACAGAGGACCTGTTAAGAGCAACAAGAAGAAGTTGAAATTGCTCAAACGTTTATCTGAAAACGTTTCATCTTTCCCTCAATTAGGGTTTGCTTTTGATCCAAATCAACCTAATCTCTTCGATCATCTTCAACAAAACCTCATCACGGTACCAAAACCTAATTTCTATTTATCGTCATCTAAATTTTTACTTGTTTCATGTTCTGAGTTATTCGTTTTTTGCTTTGATTTGAAAATCTGTTTAGTTTTTTTTTTCTGTTATACAACAAATTATAATGATGAAGATGATGTAATAGTTATGACAATTTTGCTTTTATTTAAAAATCTGTTTTTTTAAGCTTTTATTAGGGTTTTTCTTTCTTTTATATCACATTATTATTGTAATTGTTAAGTAAATAATTTAATTGATGTTGTTTTTACTTGATTGTATACAGGATGGTGGTGAGGAATTACTGAGAGGGCTAGAGAAAATAAGAGCAGAGAAGAAGGAATTGAAGAAAAAAATGAAACAAGAAAAGAAAAAAGCTAAACTTGAATCCTCCAAGAAGAAAACTTGTGATAAATCTGAATCTTCGTCATCTTCGTCCTCTGAGTCAAGTGATAGCGACTGTGACAAAGTGGTTGACATGAACACCTTCAGAGGTGTTGGCGTCGATGTTGCTACAAAGCCTGTGGATGGTTTGCAATTGCAGACCATTATTGATGTTGAAGCTTCCACTCCACATCATCATGTCATGGATTTATGCTCTACAAATGATGCTTCTGTTGTTGGGTTTAAAAAAAAGAGTAATGTGATTATCCCTGCCGCTCAGAAGAGAATTGAGGTTTGCATGGGAAACAAATGCAAGAAATCAGGTGCTGCTGCATTATTGCAAGAGTTTGAGAAGGTGGTGGGTGTTGAAGGTGTTGGGTCTGTTGTTGGGTGCAAGTGTATGGGGAAGTGTAAAAGTGGTCCTAATGTGAGAATTCAGAATTCTGTGGATCATGGCATGGTTCTTGGAGTTGATGATTCTGTTGAGGTTCCTAGTAACCCTTTATGTATTGGAGTTGGTTTGGAAGATGTTGATACTATTGTGGCTAGATTTTTAGGGGAGAATCACAATGGCATGAGTATGGCTGCTTAAACAACATCTTAGTGAACAAAATCTGTAGCGATATGCTGATTGTATATATCTTCATTTTGAATTAAAATTAGTTATCATGCATTCTGGTTTTTTAGTCCTCTTGTACAACTTGCACTTGGGTTTATGACTTTATGTACCAGGGAATGTGAAATTATAATGTTATTCTTTTTAGTCTAATTTTGTTTTTGTACTGCTTTTGAAAGACGTATAATATGCAGTTTCACTCGTATCACTCTTTTGAAAGATGTCATTCTGGAATACTTTATATTAGATCAAATCACAAATAAGTAACAAATGCATAAATTGAAATTGAAAGAAAAACATAAATTAACATAAAAATACATAAATCTAACATTATATTTTGATTAAAATGATGCAACATTCATACAATTGTCACATTCACTTCAATTGATTTGTTTCATAAATATTTTTCATACAGCTCATACTAATGTACTTCATACTGCTCATACTTTACTCGCGTTTTACAATAATACAATAATTTGATTGTCGGAATATTATGAGATTTTCGAATATGGATTTTAGATCTACAAGAGAGCTGTATTTATTGATTTTAAATTTAAGTGAGGGATTCACGTCGTTGAAGTAGACAAATGCGACATGTTAATATATACTCATTATGGTGTGATGTGATTTTGTTAAAAAAATGAGATGAGAGACCACGTATTTATACAATTTTTAAATTAATATAAACCTTAAAAACTCAATCATGATGTTGAGGATGTTCTGAATATTCATATCTAAATGTACCCTTAGTTTTCAAAAAATGGATAACTACAAAAATGCATCTTCCTATTATCCTCTTTTAAGTAATTTTTTGAAAAATAAATTGGTTGAGTTCGGAGATACATCTCCAGAGTCTTTCTCCAAGTTGTTATTGTTCACACATAACCTGTTATTTATAGGAAAATTAAATATTTACTTGTTACTACTCTAAACTCAAAATTATATAACTAATGTTGAATACATCGTTAACAACATTGCATTCAGAAAAACAAGTGTCACCATCTAAATACATTGTAAGATAAAAATTAAAAGGCATCAAAACATGTATCACCATCTAAATCTATTTATATGGGTGGTTGAGTCTTTAACTTTTACTGATTTGGTTATCTTTCAATCTTGCTCAATTTGGTGAATTATTTCATCATTTCCATAAAAAGTTATCAAGCCATGTTTCAGTTTCTTTTGCAAAATGAGATGTCCACTTTAGTGATGTATGTGATATAGGACAATTCGGTTTTAAATAAAGTTGAACAAAACGTAGAGATTTTTAAAGTCGTCCGTCCGGATGGATTTTGAAGTGGGCCACTCCGAAGTGGAAAAAATATTTTCGAAAAATCATATCTTGTTGGAGCAATACACATCTTGTTATATGCATTTTTTATAAGATGATCCATTTTAGGGAACAACGTCCATTTTGACTCTGGTATCGTACGCTAATATAAGGAATAAGATGCACGAGTTGCATCGAAATATTCTTTTTTTTAGTACAACGTTGTGTATGATTTCTTATGCGTCTACAACACTTTTAGAAGTTACTGGTGAACAAGGGTATGATTATCCTCTTCTTTATCGAGCAACGCTGAAACGACGCAATAATCGCAATTACTGTAACCTTTAACATCTACCATCCGCTTAATGCATTTGTGCATAAAAAGTGACATCTCTTCAATGTGGATGATTTTTGGTATCGGTGGTGAAGGAAATGGTTTGTTATGTGAGCACTCTTGAAAACACTATGTTGATATCTTAGAGTTGGAGAATTCGAAAAATGTGACTCAACATGTTAATGTAGGAATGAGAGTGCTTTTTAGAATTTTCACCTAATGTCGGTTTAACCTTCTTATGAGCACCCTTTGTTTCTACCAGCTCTGAGGGTGGTTTCAAATTTTTTATTTCTAGACATACAATCTTCCTCAGCTGCTCCTTGATGTGCACTTTCATGTTGTCATCAGCTTTTGTAAATTTGTCTTGGATCACCTCACATTCGGTCATGAAGGATATATTTGATTTATCATCCTTCACCACACTATCATCATCAAATTGGAGCCTTGTCCAGTGACTGTAAACCTCATTGATACATATCGGTTTTGCAAGCTTCAATTTCTTAAATATTAAACAAGAACACAGAAGACCATATGCCTTCATATGCGTACAACCACAATTTGAACTATTTGACCCTATTTTCTCTGGTCACTTGGCTTCATGATAGATAAAATTCAATCTCGTCTGAGATATGTTGCCAACATGTTGTGAATAAAGAATGTTGTATTTGAATCGGTGTTCTAATACAGTAGTACTTCGACCAAAAGATGTATGTATCTCATTATGTTGATTTCGAATCATTTGGTTCACGAAATCCCAAGCTCTACAAAAATCACCTTTACTCTTTTCTGACCAATTCTTCAGTGTAGCATGTGGAGATTCAACTTTGTTAGTTGTTGTATTGCCAAAGTAAACAACTTGATCGGTCCAAGTACATACAATCTTCTCCTTCACCTGGTTTAGAATTGTACTCTCAACATATTTTAGAAAATATGAAAATCTTGCACACTGTCTTTTGAAATGTATTATAGATTCTACATATAACTCTTTAGTGGAAGAATTTATAACATCATTCCAGACATCCATTATGTTTTTTAATACCACACCATCTTTAACCATTTTTCAATCTTCATCCTTTATTTGTTTGGTCCTACTGCAAGTTTAAATATATTTCTCACATTTTTGGTTATGTGATACGTACAAAGTAATGCATATGATGTAGGAAACACATTTGCAAACAAATTATCAGTGTGGTGTCTCGATCGATGTCAATGACCTTTGATGTGTTTTCTTGGTACTTCAACAAAGTCTGACACATATTCAAAGCCTATGTAACATTGTCCTTTTTTTCGCTTTTCCAAAATGCAAACCACTAAAAAAGTCACCTTCGTAGAAGTAACACCAAAAATTTTCAAAAGTGAAAAATTGTACTTGTTGGTCTTATATATTAAAGGAATCTTTTGTCTTATATGTTAAAAGAGTTATGAGCTTAGTGAAAAATGTGTCGAACAACTTAATGGAATCAGAATGAGTCTAAAATATATCTCGAGTGGTGACTTCATCCTCACACACTTTGTACCTAGAAACATAGTGATCGTCATTCAAAAGGTTCAACAATTGTTGCATTTATTACTTATTGATCCTCTTATCTCCATGTTTACGGCAAAAATATTGTGTATTTGCTTGATATTTGAGAGAGTTTTGAGGTCTTTTCCATTTCAAAGTGTAAGTATGTTCTTTGTCTACATCATGTTCAATGTCATGTCAAAAACAAGTTCATTCTCCTAAGGATTAAGGCGACATACAAATGGACGCGCAACTACCTTGTAACATAAGTCATGATTATGTATACCAAAACCCCATAAATTTACATGCACTATTCACCTTACGATATCCACGCACTTTAAAAGGACACTCACATTTTCTCATTCTGGTGTCATCACGTTTTAACTTTCGAATAGGTTTTGTGTACTTGTCACTTCTTTCGCATCTTATTGTCACAAATGCATGTTTTCTGTCATAACCATTATCATACTTCCTAATTATAATGAACCCCAATTTGGCAGACTCCATGCGTATTCATTAGAACATATGTTCACAATTGTTAAACACATATTTTTAATTGTAATTATTCACTAACACCTACCTCGACATCAACTAATTTAACATAATCTTTGACATCACCCAATTTAATATCACCATCCATTTCATCTAGTTTAACATTTATATACTCAATAGCTTTGGAGAAAGTACAAGAGGACACTATATCTAACACCAAGCATAACAAAAAAAATAGATTTAATATTGAAATTATTTTGAAACAATCTGGGTATGCATATTCGAATAACATGCAACTCAGAAAAAGCATTTATGAAAGTAACATTCATTTTTACAAATTAGAAATCAGATTAATGCAAGTAGTGAAGAAGGAAATACATATACATTACCTTAAATTTTAACTTCTTTTACTCTTTTTGATGTGATAAACACAATAATGTTATTTTGGAGTTCAAATGTTGATTGAAAATAGAAGATTTTTAAGGGTTATGAGAGAACATTGGTGTTTGATCATGCGGAAAAAGAACATGTAAGGTGGTATTTAATTCGATTTTTTGTGTTGATATTTTCGAATATGCATCTCCGGAATTGTCTTTGACTTGTTAAATAAACTAGCTCAATTAACTAAATAGACCACCAATGATATTCAATAATTAAACACCTTGGCAGCATACATGGAGAAAATATAAAAATTTGCATTTAGTAATTTACAAGCTACATTCATCCAAAAATGTACTATGTACAAGTCCCACACACAACTAGAGGGGGGACAACAAGTCGTTAAGCGATGCAACCAAAATCTGTTGGGTAAGACTTCATAGCCACTGTCATCCCGGCAGCATAGTTTAGAGTTGCTAGTTGCAAATCCAGCTGTGCTGATCACCTATTTTATATAATCTATACAGCAGTTACGGATTTACTTACCATTTCACAGAGCTTATGTGTCAGTACCGGGGACGTTTGGGGGATGACTGATGTTCCAATCCACTTGTGCTGCTGTCGCATCTTCTGATGAAATTATCAAGTGTTTTCTGTTTTGCAGGGCTTCTCAGTGGTGGTGGATCATCTGAGACCTTTAAGGTGTTTTCATGGCCATCAAGCATCTGATTTTTTTTTCAATAACTAAAGTTCAAAATTCATCTTAAAAACACAACCCACATTATTAAAAACTACTCGAGTATAAATATTCTCTAAAAGATATAGACATAAAAGCAGAACTGAACCTCTTAGCATTATACTGTGCAGAAACTGATTTTACACTTATTTTCAAATTGCACTACATGTGACAGAGTTCCCAAACAAAATAGAGATATACCTGTCCCAAATTGTCCAGTTTGCTTTGCACGACGTCCCTGTGACGTGGAAAATTATAAGAT